AAAATAAGATATCAGCTATCATCGTCAATAAATGATAGACGTCAATGAATAAGTCATGATTAGTTTGATATTACTTAATGTGACTCTGTTAAATAATCTGCTTTGTCAGGACTCATTTTTAATCACGTTCTTTGTTTCTCTATGCGCAACAAGTATTTTTATATCAGATATGTCACAAGCAGAATTGTTCATCGCGATACGATATATTTTTCTAAGAAACATGAAAAAGATACATGAATTCAACTCTAAATTCAATATGTGCAAAAACAAAACTCTGAAAATAGATGGATCTTATCAATTAGTAGCAACAGTTCTATCCAAGCATAATCAAAGTCGGGTGTGAGTGTGAATATCCGTTCTTCATTCACACTCACACTTCTGATCCTTCGCTTGAAATAAAAACATGTTAAAATGTTTTTACAAATCAATAATAAAATGTTTATTTTCTTCTAACCGAAACGACATAAAAATAATCACATATAATTTTTTTTAAAATTAAATCATCGTTTTTGAGAGGAGTGTAAATATGTTATGATTGAATGTAATCCGATTCAGGCTCAAAATCAGCTGATACACTTTCGATAGCAGGATAAAATTTTTCATCATATTTTTCAAGATCTTCCATCCCATCTGTTGAGTAGCGTTTAATCAAAGCATGTCGTACAGCCATCCAAGCTCGTCTTTGTTCTGCTGGTGGTTTAGAATCGTTACATAAATTACCTGTTTTTGATTTTTGTTCTAAATCGTCAAACCATTCTGGTGCGCGTTCTGAAAAACATTTTTGTCTCGGATGAAATCTTATTTCACCGGTATAAAGGGAAATTGTTACCCAGAATTGATAACATAAATATAAATACGGTTTATTTGTTCCCTGGATTCTCCAATTATAAAATGCATCTCCTAAATGATGTGAACTATAATGTTTTGTATGATTAATTTCAGTATTATCACATTTTGTTCCACAGCCTGGACATCTCGATTGACAACCAAGACGTGTTTTTATCAGATTTATACATGATTCTGTCGCTGCAGTGTCAAATATATTATTGCATTCAACAATTTCTTGATACATATTTGTTCGATCTAATAATAGTTGTTTAAAACTTTCTTTAAATCGATCTGGATCTTTCATTTCAGTTGATATACCAATTATCGGTGATAAACGAAAATCTGAAAGAATCTGTTGAAGCTTTTTCACGATTTTTTGATAAACTTGTTGAGTATTATGACAATCATGTTTTTCAACAGTTTCAATAGCTTTATCAACACAATCAAAAATAATTTTCCCAAATCTATGGATTTGATTTGTATTTTATTTAATGCTAAGTCGATATAATAACGATTTATATCGATGATATATTTCATTATATTATTAGCATCTGGTGGATTTGAACCAATACTATCATTATAAGCATTAGTTGCAATTTTATCAGGATCAATTTCACTATTATCAGCTATTTTTGTATGCACATCATTAACAATAATTCTTGTATAAATTCTTTTTATTTCTTCAATAATTTGCTTCCGTAGATCAGTTTTAAATATTTGACCTTGATTAAATGAATCTCTTCTTGATAAAAATTGTTCTTGTATATATATTTTCCATTCTTGTAGTTGATTTAATTTTTATGTTTACCATCAGCTATTTGTTTAGCTTGTTCAATTAAAAATGTTAGTGCCATACGTATAAGATCTGTTGTTATTTTCGGAACATTTAGATAATTCCAATTTTGTTGTATTGGTGATGTTGCATTTTAATGGAATAATCAACATAATGAATTAAATTTGCTATTAATTGTGAATCATTATACGATAATTTTATTGTTGATCGCATTGTGTTAATACTATTATTGACTTGTGGTATAACACCTTCTGATATACTTAAGAACATCCTCTTTTGATATTCGTCACCACGGGTATGATGATTAAACCAACCCAATTGTTCACGAAGTGTTTTCCATGGATTAGTACTAAAAATATGTTTAAAGAAATTTTCGTTTTGATTCGGTTGTTGTTGATTATCTAAATATGATTGTATTGACATATATAACGACTCCAATTCATGAAAATTTTCAGGATATGTCCTATAAGCAAGTATTGGACAAAGTTTATAAATATCATGTTGATTTACTGTTGTTCCTCTTCTTGTTTTAATTATATGATTGTAGATATACATCACTGTTTTAGTTATATCAAGTCTTTTTATTCTTAATGAATTTAAGTTCTCTTCAAATCTTTTATATAATTCATTGTATCTGTCAGCTAAAACAGCATTTAATTCATTTATATCAGTTATAGTTTGTGTTGGTTTATCAAAATATATTCTTGCAGTATTCAATAATTGTTTTTGTATTTCTAATGCTGCGTTTTCTTTTGAAACTGTATAAGCATCTTGCTCGAAACGTTGTTTTAATAACTATTCTGCACAACGTATTCTTGGATCAATATTTTTTAGTCTATTAGATTTTATATCAGCATGATAACTTTGTGCAGATTGTTCATATTCATCAATTGCATCATTAATTAATTCATCAGTCAAATCTTTTAGTTGTTTAAAACTATCTTCAATAAAGTTTTTTAAATTTATATCCGCAGTTACTTGAATATTATTTGTACTGTTATTATCTAATTGTTCTGTAGTTTGTTTTTGTTCTATTAATAATCTATAGAGTAATTTTGTCCCTTCTTTAAATAATAATTTCGACTTTTCTTGTATTATTTCATTTTTTATCTTTAATTCAGCCAATGATTTACATTTTAACAAATATTGACCTAATTCATCAATTGTTTTCCACCCATGTCGCTCTTTTTTTCATAAAACCGTCGGTAACCGTCAGTTGTGCTAAGAACCAGCGGTGACCGGTGGTTGAAGCTAGAACCGACGGTTAACCGCGGTTATCGATCGGTTTCGACTAGCGGATTTTAACGATGAAACGATAAACAAAAACAAACAAACTATATGTAGTGATATAAAAAAAATTAGAAATAATCATCAATATGATTAGAATTCTCTTATTCTACTTGTTTTATCAAGATTTAGAGAAACAAAACTCATGTTTTAAAGCTATACTAAGATGTCGCTTTTTTCTTTCTCATTGGATTGATTGAAATTGTTCAAAACTTGTTCATTAGATAAACGACATAATGAATGAATCGATTGTTGAAAATAACTTTTTATGTTAATAATATCTATGTATATGATTTTCACTTTTGTTTGTTAATTTATCTAGAAATTTCTCGAACAGTTAACTTCATTTTTAGATATCAATATTCCCTGCATGGATAAAAAAATCCTTTTGTTCTCGTCGAATTATCAAAGAAAAAAGTAAATATCAATTTTATCAATATTTTTCGTTTTAAATAATAAATTTTTATTTTCAAGATCAATGTCGCATTAAATGGTGATCAATTTGGTGATGAAAATATAATCGTTGACGATTCACCATTTAAATCTACATTAGTGAGTTATATTTAGCATGTTTTGCTTATGAACTTTTGACTTGTTTTTTTTAGATTTATGTCTATTCAGAAGGCATATCTGTAGATCTACTTCAGTTATATGGTGCTCAAAGTCATATGGATCGTTATGTTGCACTTGTAATGGATAAGTTATTTACGTTAGAAGAAATAACAACCATTACTAAAGATGAACTGGTAAAGGATGAACGATACTTAATTATTAAAGGTAAAACAAAAATCAGTTTTTATCATAGTCACTTTTTAAATATGGTTCTATTTAGAAGCAGTTCGATCAAGATTCAAGCTGAATCATGAAATGTTACGGTCTGAATGATCAACCTTGCATCAATGCATTCTTCAAAAGAGACGCAATGAATTGAAGAAAAAAAAAGTAGCGCTGGTAATGTAACAGTATAATCTGCACCACAAGTAGCACTACACGACGATTTTGATGAATTTATTGGTTCATTTGCAAATTAAAAAGCTTCTTCTTAAATATATTTTTTACTTCTATTTTCTTGTTTTAAGTATTTTTACTTTATTAAAAACATTTATTTCTTACATATTACATGATTATTGTTATAATATGTAGTACTTCTTTATTAACTGTTTTTATCATACAGTCGTAGTTAGAATAGTAGAATATGTACTTGATTAATGTTATTTTATGTTGTAACTCGTGTTTTTGTAGACGCATTCTTCCTGTGTGAAAACATAATGTACGCGTCTTTTTTGTTTGTCTCATTACAAGTTGATTTTGTTGAACATGTGTGATGTTAAATAATGATAAGTGATTTTTTATACTTCAATGATTTAAAATGCTCTTTTATTGTTGTGCTAGAAATTGATTTTGATGAGATTTAAATAAAGTCTAACTGAAAACTAGATGTGAATTGAAACTTTTACTGTAAACTACATTCGATCCTAACACATCAGTAAGAGCATAAACAAAATCGCCAGTGGAATGCAGTTAACGGCGGTTAACCGCGGTTAACTGCGATAACCGGAACGGTCAAACGGGCGTTCAAGCGGACGGTAAACTGCGGTTAACTGACGGTTTTAAAGCGGTTTGTATGACATGGGCAATTACTTGATATTTTATTATACAGTCCATCAATACTAGTAATACTAAAATTGTTCTGAATATGTTGTCTATGAAAATCATTGAATATATTTTCTCTCAGTTTGTTTATATCATAAGCAAATGTTTGATTTCTCCGATGTTGGGGTATATCTAATTCTTCGTTAATACCTTCATTAAATGCTGATGGTAATAAGACAATATCTTCTTGTTTTATTTCAAATTCATCATTGTTTGATACGTTTAAAATACTTGATGATGCTTGTAAATTATCCTTTAATCTATTTAATTGTTCAAGAAATATATTTTCATCACGTGACATTTGATCATGTAATACAAATAATAATTTTGGTTTAAATGGTAATGATTGTATTTGTAATCTAGCATATAATGAGATACCAATTAAACCCTTAAGGTTTGAACTTAATTCTCCTTTATGATTAATTATAACTAAATCAAATGTTAAAATGGCCATGCTTATTATTGAGGGTGTGGATATGCTGTTTCGTCCACACTCATCCCGTACCCACTCAGCCCACCTACACCCCTATACTAAAATAGTTCAATCTACATCATTCCACATTATCAATAGTTCGCGAAGATTAGAAACGCTAAGTCTGAAAGTAATATTTATTTTAGAATATCAAGTATTTCTGAATTAAAAATTTATTATTTTCTTATTAAAAAATTGATAGTGATTCAAGATATAAGTCATATTAATTATTGTTTTATTATTTGGTTTCTCTGCGAAAACGCTTCTTTGATTAGATGCGCCCATTAGCAGCACACGACGATAATAAATTACAAATACCAGTTGAATGAATAGCTAAATCGGGGCTTTGATACACATCAATTACGAATCGACCAACATTAACTCCAATCTAGTTTTACAAAAGAATAGAATACAAACAAAAAATTAGATTTACTTTTTATCATATCTATATAACCAAACTATAGTTTGGACAAAATTGACATTATGAATAAAGGATACTAATACAATATTTTATTTGTGTAATGGAGCGATATGAATCAGAACTTTTTAGAACTTTATTATATTTATATGAGCTTATTTAGTGACTCAAGATTTTCGATTACTAAAAGATTAGGACCTGATACAGAAAAATTGCTAAAAAATAAGCGAGAATAAATAAATCATAACCATTCAAGAGATGTCCATTGCGATTGAAAACTAACCACTGTCACTCTATGATCATAAAAGAAAAAGACTAGCGCATTGCGGTGATAAAAACAGGAAATCAATCGGAGCCTTGCTGCTCCGTCAATGGTTGTTTAAAAAATGCAGTCAGTTTTACGAATTATGCCTATTTAGGAATAGTATTATTGTTACCGATCCGTAAGATTCATTGAACATGGAACTCCTGTTCAAACCTATGCATTTTTGTGTTGCTCTTTAAAAAAACATACCCTCACTATGAACACCTTTGAACTACTCTGACATAAGATTTGAAGGCAAATTCATAGAAATCTTTATTCAACTTAGAAAATGGAGTTACTGACAATGTTTCATACTATGAATGATAACTTGAGTCTGTCACTTCCGCTAACTCCATTACCATGAGTCAATGAAGACGAAAACAGCTGAAAGTAACACAATAACTGCTAACCTGTACTATTTCATGTCAAGATAGAGTGAGATATGCTGTTCATTTATATACTATACTTTTCGTAATATAAAGATACTTACATCATGCGTTACAATTGTTGTAAAGTTTCCTTTGGCATAGTATACAGTTAATGTTTCATGTGTTGCTGTTTTTATCAAAGAGGGATTAATGCCTATAGAAATACTCAACTTCTTTGTGAAATAGTTAGTTTATTATTCTTACCATTCTCTTCACAATCCATCCAACCAAAATCTTGACCAACACCTGAAACAGTGCAAATTGCTTTGGTTGATGCTTCATCAAACAAGATGAGTGTTAACTGAAGTAGAATATATATTTATTAAATAATGTGATTTATAACTAACAACGTACTTCATCAATGCTAGAACCACTTGTACGAAGTGTATATCGAACAAATTTATTTTTGACTATTTCGAAGTTTCCTGAAGAACTAGCACAGTTTTTAATAGGTGGTGTAGCTTCATTTGTATAATGCCATGTGTTAATATACATATTTTCATAAATAGCACACTTGAAAGAAGCAAGAGGAGGAGGAGTCGTTGTCGTTTGTGCTACAAACATAGAATATATGTTAGAAACAATTATGACTTAAAAGTAACTGTATTACACTAACCATCGATAGTTGTTGTCGTTGTTGACGGTGTTTCAGACTATAAACAGTTACTCACTTTTAGCAATCACGTAAATATATTATCTTACCGAGAGTGGACTAGGTGTTGTTGTAAGACCAAGTATTTGTGAAACTTCTGCTTGGGCTTCTTGAACAGCTTCGTTTACTGAAGTAACCGCTTCTTCAATTCCTGACTGAATCGCTGATGCAATTGAGCTGATCGATGTCATGTCACTTGTGAGATCTTCGATCATCAGCACATTAACTATACTTTCTGCCACCTATTAATTATATATAAACTATTAATCAATATTACTGACGTCATCAATGTCACTAACCTTTGGTTCTCCTGTGTCCATTAAATCTTTCACACAGGCAGCCAAAAGATTCGAAATCCTAATGTTTAAATCAGAATTTCGGTGATGTGGTGCACGGCGACGTTTGTCCATAAATGAGTTAATATGAATGTTACAGATGCTTTTTGCTTGACTCTCAGTAATAATTCGCCCTTGATGTTGAGTATTTTCATCTTCATTGTCCGAATGCGTTATTGCAGACTTCGACAGCATACATTCTGTATCAAACTGCGTACATAAACCAGTTGATGTACTAGCCAAAGAACTTGGCTGCCACACGAAGATATTGAAGTGTGGCATATATTGTCGTGATTTACTCTGAAACAAATTTATTTGGAGAATCATCATACAAACAGAATACTATCGAAAGGAGTCATTAAAGTTTTATGATTTATTTATACGTCTATAATTCGCTCGACAATGTATGTAATACAATACAATCAGTCGGTTTTACCCAATATGCATTTATGTTCTATCTGTCCGCATAAAAATAGCTAAACTAATAGAAATATTCTTGTGTGCAATCATAACAACTTATATTAAACTACTTCATCTATGAATATGACTAATTTAATATTTGTATTGTTTTGTTTTCTGTTATCTTTTACAATTTTTTGTATAATTATGTGAATGAGCGTAAGTGAGCCATTAATATATCATTCGCATTCTCACTCTGAAAAATATCATAGAATTAACAAGGTATTTCCGAAAAATGGATATATTATTGGAAACCAAGAGTTTCTTAACCCTATACATTCGATATATAGAAAATAAATTGTATTTCATGCTAAAAATACTGGACTTACATCAAACTGTATAGTCGTCAAGAAATTTATTTTTGGATAACTAATTGTCATTGTATAATGAGTGCCAATATTTGTAGAGTTCCATGTTATACCTAGAGACAGACATAGAATAGAGCCTACACGTTTATTCACTCACCATTTTGTCGACATTTATCATCATCATCTGCAACTAATACGAAATCTTGAGAGAAAATCAAACAAACTCGCTTTTTTGTAGTAACATCAAACAACCATAATTCTGACTGAAAAAAAATAATATTTCGAAACGTTCACAGAATATTTATCGAAAATACTCACTTCCTTCATAAATCTGCCAGCAACTTTAACTCTGTAATAAACATACTCATTTCTTACTAACGTAACAAATGACGGCATATAACAATTTTGATACTGACTTGATCCCTGGGCGCTACCTTTTAACCGCCAAGTATTTAGATGTGGATCTGTATAGGCACTACATTCATATATCGGTCCCTGAACTAAAAAGTAAAAACAGTAGTATTGGAATTAGTTGATTATAATAAACAAACCATAGCTTTTAGTATCAAAATAATTGATGATGAAAAACAAGAATAAATATCCGAAAAACATCTTTTCTACTTCAGGTATATCGACTAGCTTGTGATCTCTTCGTCAAATATTCTAAATATACGAAGTACCTGAAGATAAGTTTGCCCCTGCAGTAAAGTTGAAGATATGGGTGTGGGTTTCGCTGAGGATTTTGTCGTCAGCGCATTCACATCCACACCCTGAAGATCTTTTTCCCATATTTAATCCCTTCCCAAAAATAGCTCTAACTACATGTCTGAGCTTTCATTATCCGCCACAGTAAGTCATGTACTGCGTTGTGCGATATTTTTTTTACTTTCTTTTTCTTCTACATGTCATATATGTCATTCTAATGAGTCTATTCGTTATTAAGCAGTTGATGAGACACGATTATTGTAGTCAAAGGTTTTTACAAAGCACATAAATAACAAAAAATATGATCTAATTTCTTTGTACATATGTAAGAAACAACTATGATATTAAAAGAACTATATTACACTAACCATTAGTAGTTGTTGTTGATGTTGTAACTCTAGTGGTACTTGTTGTTGTTGATGTTGTAACCGTAGTGGTAATAGTTGTCGTTGTTGGTAGACATTCTGGATCAAACTGCGTACATATACCTATTGAATTAGCAACCAAAGAACCTGACTGCCACACGTAGATATTGAAGTGTGCCGCATATTGTTGTGAGGTATTCTGAAACAATTTTATTTAGACAATCATCATACAAATAGAATATTATCGAAAGAAATCAAAAGCCAATGAGAGTGAACGTAGGTGTGAGGTGTGAGGTATGAATGTGGATGTGGTTGCAATAAAATACTCGTACCCTAATCAAAACCATTTATATTGGTCTACTCTATCTATGATTATGAGCTGGTTCAATATTTGTATTGATTTGTTTTTTGTTATCTTTTACAATGTTTTGAATAATTATGCGATGTGCACAGTTTTCACTTATGCGAATGAGCATAAGTAAGCGATTAATATATTACCCACATGCTCACTCTAGAAAATACAATAGAGTTAACGTTATTTGCGAAAAACGGATATATTACTAATAACCAAGAGTTTCTCAACCGTATACATTATATACACGGAGAAAAATATGCTGTATTTCATGTTAAAAATACTAGACTTACATCAAACTGTATAGTTGTCAAGAAGTCTACTTTTGGATAAGTAACAGTCATTGTATAATGAGTGCCAATATTTATAGATTCCCATGTTATACCTATAAACAGACATAGAGCAGAGCCTACACATTTATTTACTCACCATGTTCTCGACATTTATCACCGTCATCTGCTTTCATTTCCAGATCTTCAGAGTAAAGTACACAAACGTGCTCTTTTGTAGTAACATCATACAACCATATTTCTGACTGAAAAAAAATAATATTTCGAAACGTTCACAGAATATTTATCGAAAATACTCACTTCGACGATCCAGCTACCACTAACTTTAACTCTGTAATAAACATACTCGTTCTTTACTAACGTCACCATTGACGGCATATAACAACCTTGCTGTTGGTTTAGTTCCAAGTCGTTACCTTTTAACCGCCAAGTAGAAATATGAGGCCCTGTAACGACACTACATTCATATATTGATGCTTGTCCTTGAACTAAAAAAAAAGTGAAAGTAGTATCGAAATAAGTCAGGCATAACAAACAAACCATAGCTCTTAGTATCGAAATAATTGATGAAGAAAAAGAAGAATAAATATCCGAAAAACATCTTTTCAACTTCAAGTATAGCGAATAGCTTGTGAACTCTCCTTTAAGTATTCTAAATATAGGAAGTAGCTGAAGATAAATTTGCCCTGCAGTAGTTTTTTTTATATAACTTGGAATAAGATAAGGAAAAAAGAGACTTTATTTTATTCTATTATTTTCGGCGACAAAAATTACCAACTTTATTTTGAAGTTTTATTGTTTTATGATAGCAGTTTCTCCCTGAATACTGGAGTAAGTGATACAATAAAGTGAGCTGATAGATGAATGTGGATGAGGGTTTGGGTGTGGATTTTGTTATAAGCGCATCCACATTCACACCCACACCCATGCCCAGAACCACACCTACACCCAACTCACTCACACCCTAGTTTTGAATATAATTAATGAAGTATTTTAATAGTATTACCAAAACTAAATCGAATAAATTTTTGATCTTTTTTAGATACTCATTATTGTTTAAAAAGAAAACAGAAATTTAAATCTAATGAATTATTTTCAATAGGTGCCACATCTTTTTGTAGATGTACTAGGACGTTATCGATTGAGCTCTTGGGTTATGCAAAATTAAACTGTGGGTGTGAGTGTTTGGATTGGATGTTTTATCATCTGCACATCTGCACATCTATATCCATTTAGCTATACTTAAATAGTTTACTCAACAACAATTCACATTATTAATAGTTTACGGAAATTATAAAAGCATAGTTTGAAAGTAATATTTATTTTAGAATATCAAGTATTTCTGGATTAAAAATTTATTATTTTCTTATTAAAAAATTGATAGTGATTCAAAATATAAGTCATATTAATTATTGTTTTATTATTTGGTTTTTCTGCAAAACCGCTTCTTTGATTAGATGCGCCCATTAGAAGCACACGATGACGATAACTTGCAAATACCGGTTGAAGGAATAGCTAAATCGGGGCTTTGATAGACATTGATTACGAATCGACCAACATTAAATCCAATCTAGTTTTACAAAAGAATAGAATACAAACAAAAAAATTAGATTTACTTTTTGTCATATCTACACTGAAAACAAAAAAGACGTTATGCGAAACTAAAAAAAGGGGTTTCGTACTCAAGCTGTTATTGAGAATTATTTTTTATCCCTTGTTTCTAAAACTGCTCTCTTGTTTCAATCACTAATGTGTTAAAGTATAATTAAGCTTTTGAACTAACGTGGTATTAAGATAGATAAGATAACACACAATTGATTATAAGAAGACAGTCTACTACAAAACTTCAAAGGTTTAGCTTGACACCAATTTTTTTCAGTATGGCTTAGACAAAATTAATATTATAAATAAAGGATACTAATATAATAGCTTATTTGTATAATGGAACGATGGCAATCAGAATATATACTAACATCACGTGTTACAATTGTTGTAAAGTTTCCTTTGGCATAGTATACAGTTAATGTTTCATGTGTTGGTGTTTTTATCAATGAAGGATTAATGCCTATACAAATATTCGACTTCTTTGTGAAATAGTTTGTTAATTATACTTACCATTCTCTTCACAATCCATCCAACCAAAATCTTGATCGATACCTGATACAGTGCAAATTGCTTTGGTTGATACTTCATCGAACAAGATGAGTGTTAACTAAAGTAGAATATATATTTACTAAAGAATCTAATTTATAACTAACAACGTACCTCATCAATGATAGAACCACTTGTACGAAGTGTATATTTAACAAATTTATTTTTGACTATTTCGAAGTTTCCAGAAGAACCAGCACAGTTTTTAATAGGTGGTGACGCTTCATTTGTATGATGCCATGTTTGAATGTACATATTTTCATAAATAGCACACTTGAAAGAAGCAAGAGGAGGAGTCGTTGTCGTTTGTGCTACAAACATAGAATAGTTTTTACTCAATGTAAATAAAATGCTTTAATGCAAGTAACTAATTTCAGTTTTATTCAATTTAAAAGTTTCTGAAGACGCGTGTCGACTCTTTCCACTTAAATGATTGCAGTAATTAAAGGAACTACGAAACGGGTGGTTTTTACAGTCCGAAAAGTATCTGTTTCCTATGGTTCACTCCTTCTCAAAAAAAATCCTAACTACATGTCTGAGCTCTCGTTATCTGCCACGGTAAGTCATTTCTTGCGTTGTGTGATACTTTTTTATTTTCATTGTTCTACATGTTGTATATGTCATCCTAAAGAGTCTTTGTTATTAAGTAGTTTTTTGACACGATTATCGTAGTCAAAGAATTTTACAAAGTATATAAATAGCAAAAAGGTATGATCTAATTTCTTTGTACATATGTAAGAAACAACTATGATATTAAAAGAACTGTATTACACTAACCATTAGTAGTTGTTGCTGATGTCGTAACTGTGGTGGTACTTGTTGTTGTTGTTGAGGGTGGTTCGGACTATAAACAAATACTCACTTTCAACCATTATGTAAATATATTATCTTACCGAGAGTGGACTAGTTGTTGTTGTAAGACCAAGTATTTGTGAAACTTCTGCTTGAGCTTCTTCAATAGCTTCGTTCACCCTAGTAACCGCTTCTTCAATACCCGACTGAATTGCTGATTGAATTGAACTGATCGATGTCATGTCACTTGTGAGATCTTCGATCATTAGCACATTGACCATACTTTCTGCCACCTATTAATTATATAAAAAACTGTTTATCGATATTGCTGGCGTCATCAATGCCACTAACCTTTGGTTCTCCTGTGAACATTATATCTTCCATACAGCCAGCTAAAACATTCGAGATCCTAATGTTTAAATCAGAATTTCGGTGATGTGGTGCACGACGGCGTTTGTTCATAAATGAGTTAATATGAATGTTACAGATGCTTTGTGCTTGACTCTCAGTAATAGTTCGCCGTTGATGTGGAGTATTTTCATCTTCATTCTCCGAATCCGTTATTGCAGACTTCGTCAGCTGACATTCTGGATCAAACTGTGTACACATACCCGTTGATTTACCAACCAAAGAACCTGACAGCCACACGAAGATATTGAAGTGTGGCGTATATTTTCGTGATGCACTCTGAAACAAATTTACTTGGACAATCAGCTCACAAATAGAATACTATCGACTCAAATCGATAAAACTTTCTCATTTATTTATACATCTATAATTCGCTCGACAATTTATGTGGTTCATTGATATTATACATGACTTTCATTTAAACAGCACTCAAAGTTTCAAATTCGTATCTCCCAAAGCTTCGATATATAAAATTATAATTTTCGATGAAAGAGCTACCGCCTTTATAAGTGGCATCGAATGTGTCCGAACAATAAATTAAGTCGTCTTAATAAAGAATTCTAGATGTAATAGGATACAATTAGTCGCTTTTATTCAATATGCATTAATATTTGGTCTGTCAGCATAAAAATAGCTAAAATAATAGAAATATCTTTTATGCGTAATCATAACAAGTTATATGGGGCTAATTCATCAATAAATATGACCTGGTCCGAGATCTGTCTTGTCTTATTCTTGGTGTCTTTTACAATTTATGTGTAATTATGCGATGTGCACAGTTTTCACTTATGCGAATAAGCGTAAGTGAGAGATTAATATATTATTCGCATCCTCACTCTATAAAATATCATAGAATCAAAAAGTTATTTGCGAAAAACAGATATATTACTAGGAACCAAGAGTTTCTCAACCGTATACATTGAAGAAATAGAAAAACAATGCTGTATTTTATGCTAAAAATACTTGACTTACATCGAACTGTATAGTCGTAAAGAAATCTATTTCTGGATAACTAACTGTCACTGTAGTATGAGTGCCAGTCGCTGTAGATTCCCATGTTATACCTAGAGACAGACATAGAACAGAGTTAGCACATTTATTCACTCACCATATTGCCGGCATTTATCATCGTCATCCGCTTCTATTTTGAAATCTTTAGAGAAAATCAGACAAATTCGCTTTTTTGTATTGACATCAGACAACCATAATTCTGACTGAAAAAAATAATATTCTGAAACATTTATACAATATTCATCAAAAATACTCACTTCAACCATCCATCTACCACGAACTTTAACTCTGTACATAACATACTCGTTTTCCACTAACGTAACCATTGACGGCATATAACAATCTTGATATTGGTCTAGTCCCTGTTCGCTACCTTTTAACCGCCAAGTATAAAGATGAGGATCTGTAACGGCAGTACATTCATATATCGGTTCCTGTCCCTGAACTAAAAAACAGAAAAAGTAGTATCGGAATAAGTCAGGCATAACAAACAAACCATAGCTCTTAGTATCGAAATAATTGATGAAGAAAAAGAAGAATAAATATCCGAAAAACATCTTTTCAACTTCAAGTATAGCGAATAGCTTGTGAACTCTCCTTTAAGTATTCTAAATATAGGAAGTAGCTGAAGATAAATTTGCCCTGCAGTAGTTTTTTTTATATAACTTGGAATAAGATAAGGAAAAAAGAGACTTTATTTTATTCTATTATTTTCGGCGACAAAATTACCAACTTCACTCTGAAGTCTTATTGTTTTATGATAACAGTTTTTCCCCGAATAGTGCATTAAGTGATATAATAAAGTGAGTTGATAGAAGAATGTGGGTGAGGGTTGGGGCATGGATTTTGTTCTCAGCGCATCCTCGCCCACTCCCATCCACACCCACACCCAGACCCACACTCACACCCATCCACACACACACACACCCACATCTTCGTGCGGGCTCCCTTCATATGTCCAAAATGAGTCATTCAATTTGAATGTTTCACATATATTTTGTTCTGTGAAGAGTAAATATGAACGCGCAGTAACAAAATGTCGTCGATAAAAAAAATTCTAGTTCTTATCTAAATAGAGAGGAAGAAGTATATTTGCATAAAACTTTATGTTACTTTATTTTTTATCATCATTGAGTAATAAAACAGCATACGAATAGTTGGTGTCATTTGTCTACATCGTAAATTACATAGATATGTATTTTTTCATTATTTTTATCAGTGGCATAGTGCAGTGTTACGGCTTATCTCAATCAAATTGGAGTCAAGCATTCGATAACTCTACAGAAATAGCAGCAAACACAACTAATGAAGATGTTTATAAATGTTTATCATATACAGGATCTCATATCGATATTTCACATTCGATTAACCAAGGATTCTCTAACTATAAAGATTGTCAAAGATCTGGTTTATACACACTAAACAGAATAGATCGACATTTCAAAGTTGAAATCGAGGTACAACGTTCATGGATAACAGCAGTAATTGAATTATGAAGGATTAATTTAATTCATTATGTACTCTACTATTCACTATAGATTTCAGCAATTATATTCAATGGTACGATCAAACCAATATGTGGCTTCAATTCTTATCAATTTTCTGTTCAACCGACAGATAGCTGTGAAAATAACGGTAAGAACAAATATATTTCTAGTACATATTGATGTTTGCTTTTTCAGGAGTTCACGTAATGATCACAGAAACAAATCGATTTGAAACAGTATCTGTTTATCATGATGAAGGCAATTTAACAATCATTAGCACACATAATGTATATTTTATTCTCTTATTTTTATGATTAGCAAACGATCATGACTAATATAGTAGACAGCAGAGTAAAACTATATTTCACAGTTTTTTCATCACTTTTAGCTTTAAAATTTGATACTAGTATAGCGATTATTTGAATAAATTTAACGTGAAGTGTACGTTGATTTCTCATCTAAAACAGCTTGTTTGATTAACACATATAGGTTACATATATTTATTTTCAGAAACAAGGTGAGCCTCTTCATTTCAATATTAATATCTGGCAAATACAATCAGATGCTGATAGTTCATTTGGACTTTGCACGGGTACAACATGTGATTCAGATCTCGATAGAATTCTTCTAATAAATCAAGAACTATCTACGTATACTGATGATATTATTGCACTCACTTGCGTTATTTACATTGGCAATTATCTCAATAGTACGGGACGTGAACCATGGGAACGATCACTACATTACAATAAAACTATTGAAAATGTGCAAAAAGCGTGTATATCCGATATACGACAAGAAAATTCACTTCATGTAAGTTTTCTTTCTATTGGTAGTTGTTCTGTATTTACAAAAATCTGATCATTTAATATTTTTAGGTAGCAGCTGGAAGTCTTGAAGTGCTGTTTGTTGAAGATCAAGTGAATTCTAAAAGTATCACAACAATAGCTGATATTCAAACTAATTTTCAATCAAATTTAGAAGAGAAACTTCTAAAGTTAGCAGAGATAATAGATCAATCACGAATTGAAGTAGATGATATTATTGCTAATATGACAGCAACAACAACAACAACATTTATTACAACGACTCCACCTACAATCATCACGGTAAGTTTCATAATGCGTCAGCTCTATCTAACAGCTTAACTTAACTTTATTGATAGCGTACCCTTTTGTACTCGCAATTTCTAATGCAAAATAAAATTTTTTATTCTTTGACTGCAAGTCTTGTCTATGCTACCTTATGCTCCTTTGTACATTGAAACTGTTAATGAACATATGATTGTTCTTCTATGAGAATAGTATCATATTTTTTTTGATCGATAAAATTATTAGTAAATCTTTGAAGTCACAAGTAAAAAGATATAAATGGGATTTTGTCCGTTAGACCAAAATTACAAGTTTACCTACATTTGAATCAACAACGACGCTAACAACAAATAATTATACAAGCGTACAGGTTTGTTTGTAAATGTATACTTTGTTTGCTACAATAATATCAGTTATAGTGGTGAATGTGGGTGTGTAGTCATTCGACTCCATTCACACAGCCCACTCGCGCCCACCCACTTACCTACCCCATCTCACCCACGTTCAAGATCTATATAAAATCCATATAATATATTTTTAGAAAGAATTTTCATGGTATATCAGGGATTACTAGAGTCTGGCATAGCCAGCAATTCCACTTTCACCTACATCGAAATGGTATGCCCTTTGAGAACATAATAGAAGCATTGATACCCATCCTAGTAAACTGAACAGAATCTGAATTATTTTGTGATCCATTCCCAGCATCTACTATAATTTATTAGTTGCTATAACAATATAATAGGAGAATATTAACCGTACTTTTAGACATCGACACCAACAACAACATCATCATCATCCTCAGCTGATTATACAACGAAAAAAAGTAAGTTTATACAACATTAAATATTAGATACACTTTTATTGTATTTAGCACACGACAATACGTTGGGTATCATCATCGGTTGTGTGGTAGGAGGTGTTGCTCTTCTTGCTGCATTGGTTCTGGGTTTATATTGTTACATTAAAAAGTCTAAAGCCAAGCAGAGACGAACAATAGGAGATTCTCCCAATTCGTTTCCCATGTCCAAGGCAGAAAAACTTTAATTGAACAAATTCTGAGAAATTATTCGATTTCCATTTGTGTGCGGAAGTTTTTGTTTATTAATTAAGAAAAACTGAAAAATGCATTTGAAAATCTATTCTCTAATAAATGAAAACGATGAATTGAGGGTGTGGATGTGAGTGTGTGTAGCCACATGTATATTATCGATTGACTGAGTACGTCATACGCAGCCACACCAGAATCACAAAAAAATGAATGTTAAAAAGCGAAAAAGATTAATTCTGAAAGTGTAGCTACTATTGCATAAGAGAGACAACGACTAGAAGAGATAATACAGAAATGATCTTATCTGAATATGAATTAGGCAAAGGATTAGTTTGAATTCGGTTTAGACTACTCTGCTTTCGCGGCAAAAAAAACATGACACAATATCCGATAAAAATAAGATAAGCAAGTTGGAAAAAACTTACCGAGAAAAAAAGAATGCATGCATGATGCGTAGTTTAAATGACAGACAGTTTACCTTTGTTAAAATTTCACAAAAATAAGCAGAGAATAAAGAAAAACTTATCTTCACAACCTTGCAGAAAAAAGCTGCAGAAAGTTGAAAAGCCGCTGATAACAGGTGAAGTCGTAGGAAAGACACATACATTTAAACAAACAAATAGGTAAGAGCTACGTTCAACGGTTTCATTTTATTTTAAAACGTTTTTTACATAGAAAAAAATCTCTCAGATTATAATATGACGAGATAGGTAATATAAAAAATCTGGAGGGTGTGAGTGTGGCCCTTATCTAATCCTCACACTCACACCCTTTTAGCAACACTAAATCTAGACTAGCCTGAGTTACATAATGACATATACCAATAAATGATATTATCGTTATAGTCTCGATCATGCAAACGAATTCGAAGCTCAAGTCATTGTATTGAAAGGACATGGCCGCGTCTGTGAAAGTAGTATAATTTATTGCTATATATCACTCTATATCACAGATAAGCCTAGATCAAACATCAAAACAGTATAGCTGTAAAAAGTTCTGTAAGATTCTTTAGATAATTCGTTCATCCCTGCATCTATTCAACTATCCAACTGTTCGAGTACTTTTTCCGTCTCTCACTGAAATACACCATCTTGTGCTGGCAATTTGTATCTCAACACAAGAAAGTAAACAAGATATTCATGAATTCTGGTGATAACATGAATCACTGAGAAAACGAAAACAACTTTTATTACGGAACTAACTCGCTTCCACTTCACAGATGTGAAGTAACGTAATCAAATGCAAAACTGTATCATTCAATAATTCAATTGTTTCATTTTTATACGTAAGGAAAGTTATCAGTGGATTCGAGTAATTCTTGCTGATAGTAGCTCAGAGATTTATGTTATGACTCTAGTAGGTTGTGTAAGACGCAGAATTAGATTCTTTTTCGAATGAAGTAATCTTCAAGAAGGATCATCGATCATACTGAGCGTGAGTATGGATGCGGACGTCGAGTGAATCAATACTAACACCCATACCCTTCGACCAAAAGAAGAAAAGTCAATGAATATGTCCTGATTCATCTTCTTTAACGACACTTATTTTTAATTCAATGTTAGTGGACATCAAATTGTTATCTTTATGACTAAGATCTTATATCTAGTAAAAAAACGTTTCGTCATCATTTGTGTTCAACATCTCTCTATTGACTTTGACTCATTTTATTTTATTAAAGTGTATACGAGTACGAAAAGAGAACAATTATTCATTTCTTTTCTAAACTCTTCAACAAATGGCAACAGCAAAAAGCAGAACACAATGTTCTATTTGTAATAAACAAAAAAATACATACAACTGTTGCGGATGTTCAAAAGATTTTTGTTCTCAGCATTTAACAGAACATCGACAACTTCTTGCCGAACAATTAGATAAAATTATCGATGATCATGATGAATTTCAACAAACAATTATTCAACAGAAATCAAATCCAATACATTCTTCTTTAATCGAGCAAATTAATGAAGGGTGGATGTGGGTGTAATTTTTGGATTCTTTAACGAGTATCTATTTCTTTTATTTCATTTGAATGACAGATGTTTTCTTTTTTGACTTTTCTTTACCTGAAGAGTTGGCAGAAAAAAAAGTAACACCAAGAGAATACTAGTACTCATCTGTATACGCACACTTTTCTTTTTCTTTTTCTTTGTCATTTTCTTATATAGTACTGCTATAGTAGAAATAAAAAGACATACTGGACGAGATAAGTGGCTGTTTCCCTTCTTTTAGTAATAAAAAAGAATGTAATCGAGGAAGGCAAGAGTTAGAAGACGTTGTTTTTACACGTTTAAAAGCGCACATTTTAATGACTTCAAAATGTGTTTTGGAGCCATTAAAATGCGCACTGTAAACCATGATTTTTATCGATAAGACACTCGTTCATTTTGTTCAATGTTATTTTTCAACATAAGCAGAGTTTGCCTATTCGCCCAGAAATATTGACTACGCCACTATTTTTGATAAATCTTTTTTTCTCGTCTTCTTGAAAGAATGTTTTTAATTGAAATAACTTAGATTCGCAGAGTAATTTATTAAATAAAAAACATCCTCAGTCCATTTCATTGAATTGAGTAAACCTGCATAGGTCGATACCGATTTTTATTAAATCTTCTTAACTGTTAAGAATTTTCATTTTTGAAACTGATCTCATAGAATTATATTATTTATTCATTTTCATTCAAACAAATCAACTGAATGGCTTTCCAAAATCGAGTATTATTATATACTACGATTAGTTTATTAGTTGTCACCGCTGCCTTATACATCTCGGCAAATGCTTTACCAATATGGTTTGTAAACTTTTTTTAACTAAATAATTAAATTCTAAACAAATATAAATAATTATTTATGGGTAATTTCATGAGTAGTTACAACTACAAAACACAAGGTTCTCAAAAATTTGCATTTTGGCTGCAATTCGAAAAAAAATGGGTTACTAAAAATTCTTTTTTATCAAAATGATCAGCATAGAAAGCTCTACAAAACTAATCATGAAAAACGTTGTGAGAATCTTGTGTTTTTGTGGTTGACTACTCATGGAACGACTCTTGGGAAAAATTCAAATTGATTATCGATGAGAATATATCTGAAAGTTTAAATTAAAGTATTCATTTCTATATTATATAGAGCACATATTCAGGCCGACTCGATCTAGATCAGCTCCACTCGGATGCTTTTCAAAACAGGATCAAATTTACAAACTTTTGTTTTTCTCCTGTGATATATTACCCTTAAATTTACTCATACGAACAAAATATAATATATTGAACTTAAAAAATAACGTTTTCTTTCTCATCTTACGTAGAGACCATCGAGTTGACTCGGGACCGAGAGGGTCCAAGTCTCCGAAAAATTTTCATACATAAGGAATTGTTTTTTAATGTGAACTTTTTTCCTGAACAATGACGACATTTTAATACATGTACTTTAATTTCAGCATAATTAAAGTTCGAGTTCGGATCCGGATCTGGACCCAGAAATAGATAAAAGTTGGATTCTGGGTTTCAAATTCTTGCATCTAACGAACAATACTTTTACCTAATTTTATTCTTTATATTTATATTTGACTGATATTCATCGTCCAGGATATTAATTAAAGAAACCATCAAAACGTTTTTATCTGAAATTGGAAAAAATTATTTGAAAAAAGACCTGTTCAAAATAGTTATTTAATTGATTGGAACGGACTAAAAGAACTTGAGCTTGACGATTTCTGCTCTCTTCTTTATACAATATCACGATAGAAAACGAGTCACTTCATTCATTATCAGCTTCATTTCTATTTCTTTTTATATATTAATAGTACAAGAAGAGATTAAATTTTTAGAAACTCAATGATATCACTAAAGTCGATTCGAGTCCTAATATACGCTCGCGTCCAACATCCTAATCGGTTCGATTTGTGAGTCGCGAATGTAAAAGAAACATTTACTTTATAGAGAATCATTAAGCCATTTTTCATCTGTTTGATTAAAAAGACATTGATAATGAAATATTCTATTTGCTTAGGATAACAGCATCTATCGAATCATCTACATACACATATGGATTATGGAAAGTATGTAACACTGTAGAAGGTACGAAAATTTGTCTAAATGCACCATTGAAGACAGATAGTGAAACAATGTCAATGCGTGCATTTATAATCATTTGTTGTATTTTATCACCATTATCTGTTGTATCGATTTTATCGATTTTATATAATGAAGATCTAAAGAAGAAAATGTTTTTTTGGGCAAAATGTCTTGCTGTCACAACTCTTATTAGTGGAATTATTGGTGTTGCTATTGGAATTAATGAAGTTGTCAAAAGTAAAGATCGTGGTGGAAAAATGGGTGTATCGTGTATTTTGGCAATTACTGCACTGATCTTGAATTTAGCTGGTGCTGTTACAACATTTTTTCTTGAATAAAATATCTTTTTTAATTTTTGAACTTTATTTTTCTTTTTTAAACAGAAAAATCATTAAATAATTCTTTAATACAACAATTTCTTGTTTTTTTTCTTGAAGGTGTGGGCATGGGTGAAGGTGACAGGTACTACAGATTAGGAATCTCATCACGCCCACTGCCACACCCACACCCACACCCACACCCACACCCACCCACACCCAAATTGTAATACAACATTAAATAAATTATTCATATTTTTATCTGATCCCAATCATTTGTATTGTTGCTGCTGCAATTGTATTTGATCGGCGCTTTATTTTTGTCATGATATATATCTTAACAGAATCAGTGAATTGAAATAGAGTAATCATAATAAATAACAGTGCGATGTACATAAACGTAAACGAAATGCGAAAATCATATTTAGGTGGTTTAGTAAAAAATCCGATAAAGGTGAAAGTTGTATAAGGTATACCCAGTATTAATAATATTGATACAAGTATAACTATTCGATGAACCATTTTTAGTTCTCGCTGTGCACGAGATACAGTATTAACTATAGTTACACGTTTATTCATCTCTTTTACATAGAAAACTAGTTTGATATAAATAAACATAATACCATTCATGGGTATGAAATAGCCAACAATGCTGTTATAAATTATTACAAAAGACAAACGAAAAGGTGTTTCACATATCTGATTGTCAGCATTATATTGAATTCCATCATTGACAACATGTGGAATAGCAAATATAAAACCACATACCCATGTTAAACCAATCAGAAAACCCTGAAACTGTTTTGATTGCCAGAAAAGTCGTGTCGGGTAGACAACTGTTATATAACGATAGATTGCTTGTAATAAATAAGATTGTAATTGTGCAGCAAATATAGCATGACCGAAATAGCCTCGAAAAATACATAGTGAATCTTGATATGCAATTTGCTTAAGATCATTTTTAAGAGACCAAATCATTACCCCGAATAAATCAATTGCGAAAAGAAGTTCAGTTAAACATGAATCAGCTACAAGCATCATAGGAACTGTGTGACATGCTTTATCAATTATAATAATAAATAAAAATAGTACACCTAGTATTATCACCAAAATAAGAAATATAATATTGATAATATCGAGAGGAATAAACCATGATTCAGTATTTATAGTAGATGATTTCGAAACAGATGTTTGTATTGATGTAAAATTAGTTGAATTCATTCTTGAGAAAGTTCACAGCTAAAAAAATACATGTAAATAAGTGTTGTAGAAAGTTTATGTGTTGAGTAGTTTATATATAGGATTTCTAATACTCATTACTTCGTCTCCAGATATTCTTATTATCTTTTTTCTGCTTTCTATTTCATAGAACAAAGGATTACCTCATAACCTATGAGAAAATTTTTTTTGCTATACTATAAATTATTTATCATTGATATAATAAGTTATCTTCCGATTTCTACAGAATATTTTAAAATATCCATATTCTATATTATAAAATCAGTGAATACATTCTTATCTTTCACTACAACGCTAATGATATTCCCCGTCAATTTGTAGTTCTAATTTATATCTAATGAGAATTACCATGTGGAAGATATAAGGATGTCAGTCAAGAAAAAGTTGATCTATTTAGGTATTCATGCAGCAAATATTTGTAAATATTCAAAAAAAGTCGAATTCTATTTTCAATATACTTAACATATCAGAAGAATGTTTTGCAAGAGATAATATTTAAAGTCTATCTATTTATATCTCATATGTGGTATGATGAAAGGATATAAAGCATTCTCTAAACATCTATGTAATCTTTTCTTTCTTTTCGATGTACCTCAGAGAATGAAGAAATGCATCTGATGATTAAAAAAAAGTACTTTTTCATTCAAAAACCATACTTCCGTTCATTATGAGCTGATGAGCTTTTTGAGTGGCTAAATATATCATATTTTTGTCGATGTGCGTCATTTACAAGAAACACATAATTATGAAAATTAGCGAAAGGCATTCAAGTAATATATAAAGAATTGTCTCGTGATGAACCTGAACTATATATTTATATCTATATTGTGTTCAGTAAAACTTAAATGTGTTAATCTAGAAGATGGGGGTGCAAAAGTGAATATTGACTTTTTACACTTATCAAATCGTTATCCAAATTTGAAACTAATACAATCGAATATATAGATGTTACTATCTGTTTTTTTCTAGTGAAAGATTTTTGTATAAAGCTATTTAAGAGAAAGGTGGGTATGAATGTGGGTGTTCTTCTCATACACCATCAATACTTATATCCTACTATACTTGGAACTACACGTACTGGTTTTCACCACTCGTTTTGCCTGTTTTCTTTCGATTTTTAAAAATTTTGTATGATATTAAAATTTGCTGTTTTGTTTGTTTCCATGATTTCAATCATTATCGAAAGTGTAGTTGGAAATATTGATTAACACTTTCTCATCCTAGAAAAAATGATATCTCTATATAGAATCTTATTAGCTAGTATTTTTGGACTCATACTTTTACAAGAAAATATCACAAAGGTTTACACTTTATTATGTCAATTTTGTTGACAGTTGTCATCATGTAAGTATGAACATAGCAGGGGTGTCATATTACCATTACGTTTTATTACTTTTATTACTTATCATGTAATATCACAACTTACGTTGTTTTTGTTGTTTCAATAGCACTAGAGCTATTATTGTTTCTTATTAGTGATATAAGCCACATGGTATTTTCTTCCATACATAGCCATATAGTATTTTTTCCTTTTCGTCATTATGATTCGTTTTCTTCTGCTTCTTTGACTTATATCGAAATGTTTTATTTCCAATTTATCGACTAAAGTATATGACATAGGTATTTTCTTAGGATATATTATATTGCAGAGGTGAAAATAGTCGAAGAAATAATCACTGTTCATCGTATAAATAAGTGCATTTTCTTTTTAAATCAACGAACTATTACTTGTGTGCTTTTAAATATCACATTGTCTCATGTTTATTTTTAGCTATATATTGAATTTGAAAAAAAATATATGACAAAACATTTCAACTGAAGCAAAAGAATGACAATAAAGCGTTTGGTTTTTGATCGAATATATTTTTAGTGTTTGATAGCAATACAACATTGAAATGTCATTTATATTTAATATAATAATCATGTCATTATAGTTCATAATATCTTTGATATCAAGTCATTGAAATTGAATGGACTGATTAAGGAGGAGTACGCCTTCGAATACGATTGAACGATTGTTTAAACGCTTTCATATACAATTCTGAAGGAGAGACAAAGATAAGAAAGATCAGCATCGGAGGAGTAAAGGAAATGAAATATGCTCCAAGATACAACCACAAGTTCTCCGATGTTTTCACACAACCAGGAAGTAATGAAATGATGAGACGAGGTACTGATAAAACAAGTAATACTATTGGACTAATGATCAATTGTTTATGTTCACAAAATTGTACTTGAACATGTTCTTGAAAACTCTGATTAGTTTGTGCCACTGATCGCTGGTGAGCACCTCCAAAGATGATGAACAATGCAGAGAAAAGATTGACAATAAATGGACCAACAAGATGAAAAAACAAAACGGCTGTATTGTAATCTTGGACAGAAGGAGAATAACGAGTGATACATGAGACATATCGGTTGTTTGTGTCTTCATTAGACTTATTCGTATTTATCATATCTAGTCCTGTTTCATAAACGAATAATCTGCGAAACGCGAGCTCATGAATAAGAGTACCAAAAATAAAGAATGGTAAAATAAGA